CCACGAGGTGAACCACAGCTCGGTGTCCACTATCGTAGCAGGGGTCAGTGCGAAGCATCGGCCACGAGGTGAACCACAGCTCGGTGTCCACTATCGTAGCAGGGGTCAGTGCGAAGCATCGGCCACGAGGTGAACCACAGCTCGGCGTCCACTATCGTAGCAGGGGTCAGTGCGAAGCATCGGCCACGAGGTGAACCACAGCTCGGTGTCCACTATCGTAGCAGGGGTCAGTGCGAAGCATCGGCCACGAGGTGAACCACAGCTCGGCGTCCACTATCGTAGCAGGGGTCAGTGCGAAGCATCGGCCACGAGGTGAACCACAGCTCGGTGTCCACTATCGTAGCAGGGGTCAGTGCGAAGCATCGGCCACGACGTGAACCACAGCTCGGCGTCCACTATCGTAGCAGGGGTCAGTGCGAAGCATCGGCCACGAGGTGAACCACAGCTCGGCGTCCACTATCGTAGCAGGGGTCAGTGCGAAGCATCGGCCACGAGGTGAACCACAGCTCGGCGTCCACTATCGTAGCAGGGGTCAGTGCGAAGCATCGGCCACGAGGTGAACCACAGCTCGGCGTCCACTATCGTAGCAGGGGTCAGTGCGACGCATCGGCCACGACGTGAACCACAGCTCGGCGTCCACTATCCTAGCAGGGGTCAGTGCGACGCATCGGCCACGAGGTGAACCACAGCTCGGCGTCCACTATCGTAGCAGGGGTCAGTGCGACGCATCGGCCACGAGGTGAACCACAGCTCGGCGTCCACTATCGTAGCAGGGGTCAGTGCGAAGCATCGGCCACGAGGTGAACCACAGCTCGGCGTCCACTATCGTAGCAGGGGTCAGTGCGACGCATCGGCCACGACGTGAACCACAGCTCGGCGTCCACTATCCTAGCAGGGGTCAGTGCGACGCACCGGCCACGACGTGAGGCACAGCTCGGTGTCCACTATCTTAGCAGGGGTCAGTCGAACGCATTGGCCACGACACGAGTCACAGCTCGGCGTCCACTATCTTAGCAGGGGTCATTGCTACGCATCGGCCACGACGCACTTGGCGGCTGACGAGAATGTCACGTTCTGTCAAAACAAAACTTACTGGTTGTCACCTGGTGGCGAAAGTCTGGCTATTGCACTGCTCGTGACGTCCCCGTCACTGGCATGCGCCTGGGTGCTGATTCTGCATACAGGCTATCGTTTCGTGAGACGGCTGCTTGCCTGGGGCGCGCTGCAGGCAGGGCAGTTGGTCGGCGCCGAGACAGAAGAGTCGGCCTTCGCTCAGCCGCGGTGTACCCCGGGGCGGAGCGCGACGCCGGCCGCTGCCGAGGCCTGGCCACCGGCCGTTGCCGAGGCCTGGCCGCCGACCGCTGCCGAGGCCTAGCCACCGGCCGTTTTTGCGTGCCGTGACGGGCGCGGCACCGGCGGCAGCACCGCCCTGCACATTGACCTGGCCGGGTGGATGTCGCGGTTCCGGCCGCGTCGGGCGCTTCAAAGCGCCCGGCCGGCGGAAGAATGGCGCTTTGTGGTGGCCGGCGCACCGCCGCGGCGGCGGCTCCGGTTTCGCCGCCGGCTGGGAAGCTCCCCGCAGCGCGCGGCCCCCAGCCAGCGGCCCGCAGAACGGCACCTGGCCGGCTGCACAGGTGGAGGCGGCCAGTGTGTGCGACCGTGGTGGCCCTGCCGTCGGCGAATTGCTTTGGGTAGGCGTCAGTTTGCAATAGAGATGATCTGGGAGGGACTGGCCGGGTTTGGACTGGCGGCTGACACCTGAAAATGTATTTGTTGGCTCAAAATGTTTGATGATGATCGAAGCCTTCGCGTTTAACTTCAGTTTAACGCGCGCCTACGTGTAGGTGGGTAACAGCAAATGTTGAAGTCGTGACGGGTCCGTCTGGTGGATGGCTTAGCAGTGTTTGCAAAATTTGTCTTTGTTGAGCCCTTTCCTGTTCAGTCATCGCTTTTCCAACGATTGCCGGTAACCGCTAGCCACTGCGGGCTGCTCGGCGGCGGTGCCAGGTCGGGCTCCCTGACCCGCCGTACATTTTGCCCGGCGCGACGTTCCTCGTTTTCCGGCGGCAGCGTGGTCTTCTATTTCCACACATCTCTTGTCTGGATAGGCACTTTGACTCAAGTTGTCAAATTTTGCGCCTTTGCACCACCATTGCGTACGCCAGACCGAGCGGACCAGTTAAAGTATCCCGGATCTGCAGGGGTCGTCTTGTTCATCCCAAGCTGTTCAGTGCAGCTGCGGGAAGCATTACATAACGTAAAAACATTTCTGTTAGCCTTATTCCTTGTTGAGATTTCACTCTTTCAAGTGCCTTGGGACTTATGGAACCGACGATATGCTACGCCTACGCCCGACAGGAGATGTCATCGAATGCTTACACGCTTTAGGTGGACGAAAACATCGCTAGCCTCCCGGAAATCACTTTGCAAATAGTGGGGAGCGCTTAGTTTGGATATTCGCAAGAAGAATTATCGTCAAGGATTTCATTTTTCTTGGAAACGTCTTGCTTGAACATCACAGGAAATATTCAGGTGACTGGGAAGTGGTGTATGGCCATTCACACCAACCCAATACACTCCGCCGGTGTTTTCAGATACACTCCCGAGTCATGAGTGGTTGCTAATTTGCGTACGTCATTCACACCAGCTCCGCTTCGGATACAACAGATCGACTCGAGCTGCTGACTGCGTTCTCTCAGTGCTAGAGGCTCACATCAGTCACTTGTTTGAAGCATGTTTACATTTTCTTCTTCAACGCGGAGTAGATGATGCTTCATATTTTATACGAAATGCAAGAGAAAGCCATGGCACAAGACGCTTTTGCAATGCTGCCCTTGCGATCTACATTGTCAGTCGAACAATGCCACCCGAACCCGTGACGTGTGCAGTGGTATGTCAAGACACTACATGCTGCTGCAATGTCTCTAATATGGATCCAAAGGGGATGAGTTGGGGATGAGTGTGCGGAGAACAACAGATCATGGGTTCCACTGGATCACAGGAGGAGCTTTTTTTGTAGTTTTGCCGTACTGACATGCAAAATTTTTGGCTCGGCCTCCCAAAACAAGACGCTCAGTTCGCCCGTACGTGTTGAAATAGGAGTTTTCCCGCCAGGCTGCTAGGGCATTCATTCTGGGCTTTGAATTATTTTGTCTCATTAGTGCGATGAGAGTACTATAGTTCCACGTCAAGACAAACGACTGCATTGTTTTATGGCAGCACACCACTTGTGGGATGAAGTGGTACAAAAACATGGTAACAGGTCCTCCTGGTTCTACTTCCGGGACACCACTCCTAGCAACTTGTTTTGCCTGACTTGGATTCTAACCGGCTGGTAGACACTGTCCCCGCTGACTGTCCTGGTTCTACTCCCGGTACACCACTCCTGGCAGCTTGTTTTGCCTGACTTGGATTCTAACCGGCTGGTGGACACTGTCCCCGCTGACTGTCCTGGTTCTTCTCCCGGTACACCACTCCTGGCAGCTTGTTTTGCCTGACTTGGATTCTAACCGGCTGGTGGACACTGTCCCCGCTGACTGTCCTGGTTCTACTCCCGGTACACCACTCCTGGCAGCTTGTTTTGCCTGACTTGGATCCTAACCGGCTGGTAGACACTGTCCCCGCTGACTGTTAGTAAGAGCCCAGGGATTTCACTTCCACCTTTGCTTACGAGTTGGATTATATCGCGGGGATGGATTATTATTATTTTGTTACTTAATTGCTGCTAACGTCAGTCTAATCCGTGCATCTTTCTAAGAAATTATGACATCTTGTAATCTTCAGGCGGCTCTCGTTCTTGCTATTGTTGTCTGGATGCTCAGCGTCCCGTGCTGACACTCCTAATGCTTCACAGGCGGGTGATTTTGATATGCTACTTCTCCACTCCGCCCCAGTCGCTTCCAACATGTGCCGGAGTACTTGGGTTTCTGCCAGTTTTTGCCACGAGCAGTTTCTGCCGGCCGATAAAAACCTGCTGGGAGAAACAATTTCAGGGCGCTGCCAACCCTGATTAGTAAGACCAGAGTATCAGTATTATGATGTGGATGAAACCAAGGCGCAAGCAAGTGAAGCCGATTGCCTTTGGGAACCCTTACTACCAGGTAGTTTTGCCCCCCTGGAATATCTCTCATTCATAAGCTTGACAGGCAGAGATGCGTCGGTGTCTCGCGGTCGTGCGAACAGTACACATACCACTCGAGTTGTGTTCGAGGTCGGCCAAGCAAAGGTTACATAAGTCCCCTCTTGGTCGATGTCTGGCGTTCCTATTAATCGGAGAGTGCCGACGTCACATCGCGGTTTGTAGATGGTATATCCGCTTACACCGTACACTTGGTTTTGCATCCCGGCCTGTTCTGGTTGCAGAGAAAACGGACGTAAAACTGGCTAATGGTTTGCGCTCGAAGTCGCACGATGGTACACCAGTCTGTCCATCCCTTCGTCAGTGCCATTGCCAACTGTCTCGTCTGCCTGGGTAACAGCATACCGTGTAGCTACAACACGGTGGCCGTCAAGATCTGGCCCTCGTGTTGACCCGTGCTGGAAGAAAGGTCAGGAAGGCCAGATTTTGCACTTGCGATGGTGTGGGCAAATCTTGTCTGGTCGAACAGCTTGTAAGCAAATGCATACAAATTGATGCAATGCAACTTTACGAGAGTTGCGCTGTGTGAAGCCAGTCGCGTGAAACTGCGACCATTTGCCGGAAAGCTATTGATTAGGACTGAGTCGGACCGAGTCGGTTCTCTTAAGTTGAAGGTTTTCTCAAAGTTCAAGTAAAACTCACTCGGCCTGCGGCCTCGCTCGTAGTTAGTGTGTCCGATTGTGTTAGCCAGCGCGCTTCATTTGGGCCGACACCGGCGGCGTTTTGCCGTCATTCGCGCCGCGCCGCGGTTGGTTTGGTAGCGGTGGTTTATCGCAGCCACCAGCACCGGCTCCGTGTTTTGATTGCAGGCCGCCTGTCGGCTCCCACCCTGGCTTCTCTCCTAAAGTGTTGTCTGTTTCAGGAGGCCAAAAATTTACTTTGGAACAAGAACGCACAGGCAGCTAGCGCAAATTACGCAGGAACTGCGGCGAACAAGCTACAAGCACGTCAGGTAAGTGGCGTCAGTCCTAAGGCGGCGCCTCATGTGTCGGAGATCCAGCATTTCTGGTCAGCTTTGGAGGATGCTTGGGTGGACACTGTGGACACTTTGGACACTATGGACACTATGGACACTATAGAGGATGGACACTATGCTGATGGCCGTTTGGGTGCAAGGATTGTTTGCTTGTCCTGTGAGGTTTTGGGTGTTCCCAGAACCGCACTGGATAACGCTTGCACCGCATTGGTGTCCCGATGTCGTGGCATATCAAACCATAACTCCCGTGATGGGCCACTGGTCAGCTGATGCCGCAAGGGAGCGAAGTGGATAAGTGCTGACATCAGAAGTAGTTACATCGGCTTCTGGCTCTGAACAGTTTCACGTTCAGCACCACGGCTGGCCGATCAGATCACGCCAGGACGCTGATCAAACAGAAAATGTCTAGGTAGCGGTCAGTCGAATCGACGACCCCAAGCGCGGCTTGTATGTCAGTACATGAACGGCGTGTCGCGTAATGTATCGTGTGACGGGTCGTTTATTGTCGACCGTAATTGCTTTCGAATGGAGGAGAACGTACCAGATGTCCGTCTGGTTTGAATGCCTCCCAAAGCCTGGTAGCACCGGCCCTGCTGCGGGTACCGAACTCTCCTCCGCCCCATTTCACCATTGGCGTGATCCAGGGCTGAATGCGCGCCGCGACCTGGCGACAAGTTCCAGCCCATCTGTTCTGATCGGATTTCGCTCCCCTTTCTCCGGCGAAGGCCAATCGCGACGCGGCTCCCGCATCGATGTGCGACCCAAGGCCGGCGCGGCGCGCGGCGCGCGATTTTGATCGGTTCTCACCACCGGGAGGTGGTTGGGCGGCGGCGGGGCCGGTGCGCGAGGTGGCGGCCGCCGCGCTCCGGCCGTCCCGGCGCCGCTCAATAGCGCGCCGCCGAACTCGAGCCTCCCTCGCATTGTGCCGCGCTCAAAGAGCGCGCCGGGAGCCGCCGGCACGCCGCGGCCCGCCGCTTTCATCCCGGCCCGGGAGGGGATGGGGGCTGCGAATGAAGGGTGCTGGCGGCGCGGCGGGGGGCGGCGGCTGACGGCCAATCGCGACCGCCGCTATTGATTGGCAGCATGGCGCCGGGCCTCGGCTGGCGATGGCCGGCTCGGCGGCGGCGCCGGTGGCGACGCTCGCCGCGCCAGCTCAGGGTGACGGCCGCGGCGCCCGGCTCGCGCGGCCAGCGCTGACAGCCGCCGCACGGACGGCCAGCTCCAGTGCAGGGAGCACGGGTGTAGCCTGGCCCAACAGGGAGAGCGCCCAAAGCACGGACAAGCTGCGGATTGCGGCGCTTGGTGCTCGTCCTCCAACTGGTGGCTTCGTGCATTGAGATTCGATGCTTGCCTCAGACGGGCTGTTACTTGACAGTCTGTGTGTAACAACTGACTTGTAAGGTGTCTGTTGAGGTTTGGGAGTGTATTACGGTACCTGTAATTGATACCTCCTTGAGGACCGGCAGCACAGAGCCTTGCGCGTGCGATTGGTAGGCTTTGGTGAAACCAAGTAGTGCCAGACCTACTGGATAAGTAAGTATCCGGTGGGTTGGCACCTAATTGGTGGTACGACGCATCTCCAATTGTGTTAGGTGGGTTTGTTTGTTTGTTAAGGGTTCTTAACATTAGGTTGCAGCCGACAGAATTTTGCTTAGGAACATGCATGGCGCGATGCGGCGACGACATTGTCCTTTAAAACGTTGCATTGATGGGTACAAAACAAAGGTCATTCAAACCTTCCAAGAACTTGACTTAACGGCATTTATCTCCGTGCGGGCATCATTCACCTCGCATAGTTTCGTTATGACATGAGAGCTTTCATACTGAAAACAACCGACACTAAATATAACAGGAGTTACTGGTTACGCAAGTCTTCAAGCCAGCACGGGTTATGCTGTGAAAGTCCGGCGTTACGAAGCGGTGCTGGTGGTCACGAGTTAGCAAGGTTGAGCAAAAAAATAATGCGCATGCAACGCAGAGAACGCTATGCATCTGTCCAGACACTGTCGTTAAAAATGTTTCGAAATAATGAATAATTTGAGATCCCACATCCTAACACCCCATTCATGATTCTTTGCTAAGGGCTGCACAAAGCACAGGCGGCTTAGTGCGAGTGTCACGACGGCCAATATCGAGCATGCAGTCAGACAATTGTCTTAACGAACATCAGACATCGCAGACATTGCAAGAACATCACCAACACTTCAGCCATCCAGGCTGTACAGTCGTAACATCCAGTACACTGCTGCGCTGTGGGCCACCCGAAATATATGCTGCTAAGCCGAAAGGCTTCCAAGATTCGTGCCGACAATAAGGATGAAAAGCAACTGGCCGGCTGTCGTCAGTGTTCAACTTAACCACTAGATGACAAAATATTGATTAACGTGTATAACCCAAAAAAGATTCTTTAACCAAACCCCAAGACGACGTGTGTGTTTTAAGCACTGGACAGAGATTGCGGGTGTACAGCGATTTAAATATTGCCAGTTTCGCGCTGTCTTTTGTCTGTAATGTGCTTTCCACTTTAAAATTGGAATTTGTTCTGCTATGCTCCTCTGCCACGTGCTGGTCTACTGTGCGTTCCCCTGTGACCTGTACGCTCTCCATTAGCGTCCGCTTCTAAGGTGTTAATCGAACTGGTCACGGACATCTCGTTTTTTTGTTTTTAAAATATCCGTGGACAGAGGTTACGATTTATGGTATGCACTGCGTTCTTCTGTGTGCATTTTCCTTCCAGCACCTTAACGCATAAGTAGCAAGCTACTTCAAGCTGGACACGCTGGGACATCTAGGGCTGGCCTAACTGCCATGTGCTCAAAACTAGGACCACAGGTCTGTGCTACCTGAAAGCGGTGCAAACCGTTCGATCTTACGCAGGCGTTTATTAAGTCGCACAGCTCGTCGTATATAAACAGTAGTTCTGCATGTCCGTAATGTCTTCGTTTCGCCTTCCTTCAACTTCTTCGTGATCCTGATAAAGCATGAACTCAAGATTGTACAGCACAAGCGTCAGAGATGACTCGGTGTTCGGGGGCATCCTTTCTCACTGCAAGGGAGGGACATTTAGCCACACCACGCTCGAACGACTATTGATCAGAAGATAGACGCGCCGCTCTCCACGTTTGTAACACAGAGATCGCTTTCTTAGCAGCCACGGGATAGGCTGGATTGTTCCGCAGTATGATGGGACGGTCAAGGATTTGAAGTACAGCAATGCGGTACGGCTTTCAGCTGGTTGTGCTGCAAAAAGGGAATCATACATGGAGTAGGTACATTTCGTGCGGCGTGGTTCAGAGTGAAAGAAACACTGGCGTGATGTGCAATGATTTTATGCAATTGAATTTTGTACGTGAGCTCCTGCATGTGCCCAGATTCCGAAATGGTCACTGATGTATCGTATGACATCATCAGGTCTTACACTCTATTTGGCTGGACAATATGATCCAAAACACTGGATGGAATTAATTAATTAGTTAACGTTATGGTTAAAAATATGGGTTGGACATTTTGTGCAATCATCTGTGCTCATACGAGGTAGGCATTTTGTATCAAGTTTTCATCTATAATTCTCGTTACCAAACTATGCATTGTTTGTTTGTTTGTGAACAGTGCCGTCCAGATTCATCACATTTATACTACCTGGGAGAAGCCTAGCCGGTTATATAGCATTCACCCTCCGGAGACATGGTAGTGAGGCAGGCAAGTGAGCAGCGAATAGAGACGTAATCTGAATTGCAAATTTTGCGAAGAGTCTACAACGGATTGTCTGAAGACCACCGCTGACAGATGCGACGAGACGAAGTGAAATATTCGGCTTATGATTTTTCGACAAATCACGGTATTCTTCCGTGCGGCATGGATGCGGAAAAGGAAAGACACGATATTTCTTGGGAGCTTCTAGTCGAGGGTTCCTTTTATGTAAGTGCTTGGTTTTGAATTCCATTCGCTGAGGATTAGGAAGACAGTAAATGCTGCGGTACTGGGTCTTAATATGCGTGGTTGTTCAGGTTAATCCGTTTTGTTGTAGAGCGGACTTCTCTGCATATCTCCGATAGTTTAACGATAAGATTTTCATGGTTTTTATGTATTGGAGCGGATTTTTTTGTGGAAACGACTTGGTTCGTTTGGTGGTTATGTTCGTGAGCGCCGCCTCCGTGTCTAGCGTGCGAGCCCGTGTCGCATCCGTGGTCTAGGGGAGAGAAGATGGACTCGTAATCCAGCGGCACTGGGTGCCAGTCCCAGAGCGGGCGCATTGTTTGGCCCGACTGAAATGGAACGATCAGCTGACAACTAGCCAGCGATTGTCAAACCTGGCCCGGGGCGACCGTGTCGCAGCATTGTGCGGCACGTAAAACCCTCCGCAGTCCTGTTGGCGCAAGGGCGGAGACAAAATTATCCGTTGAACTAGACGGCACGACTTGGGTGGTGGGTTCGGGATACACGCAACAAGCTATGCTTAGCAGGTGCTATGAACCCAGAGCCACCCATACAAACTATTGGGAGTAAATTTATAAAGAAAGCGCTTAACAGCTTTGCCATCGAAAAAACTTCGGAAGTCAAGCATTTGCCATTTCTTGCTCGTTCAAAGCATGTCTTTTATGGACTGCCTAGTGAGAAGCTGTGATCTATTACGCCAGTGCATGAAGGTTAGAAGAAGCGGGGCGTTTGAAGGATATCCTAGAAACTGAGAACATCACAGTTCCTACATTTCCAGTATATTTAGTTTTATTATAAGTCTAAAGCAATCATCAATGCGGCACCGCAAGTCGTGAATGCGCGTAGGAAATCCGAGAATGTACTCAAACTACATGGTTCGACAAAGTCTGCGCGTTGCGTGTACCGCACCATTTCAATGCACTGTGAACCACTCTCTTATGTAACATTTCACGCGAATGCATATGTGTGCAAATGCAAATGTCTATGTGCGTGTACTGAACTCGACATCAACAGCAGCCCTCATTGGGAGGAACAGCGAC